TATTTTCTTTTTTTTTATTTGTATTTTTCTTTTATGATGTAATTATGGCATAAATCTTCTGTACGTCATTGCTATGTTGTTACTATATCATTGCAATTACTTTATTTTTTGAATTAAATGCAAGATATTAGTAGTAGTGTATCATGAGAGTATATAAGTAGTAGCGAGAAGAGGGATAAAAAGCAATCATCTGACACTTTGTAAAAACAACATTAATAAGAAAATAATAAAGGATTCTTATAATTGCTCACTCGATAGTAAATTTAACTTCAAAAAATAATAAGTTATACTCCTCTTAATGCCTATGATACTGACTAAATTGGCCTATGAATTAACTTTGTTCTCACATATCGTAACATTTTTGATACTGATTGTGTGGAATTTGAACAATTAGAGAAGGAACCTTAAACGAATAAAATAAATATAGTTATCAGAAATTCAAAAAAATTAAAAATTAAAAAAAAAAAAAACTTTGTAAAACAAGTCAAGAAAAGAAAGATAAAATGTGGAGAAACGTCGTTAACGAAACAAGGTCAGAAGGTAGCTAGTATATGGTTAATAATGAAGAAGCACTTTAAAAGGATAATAATATACTACTAAACAATAATCTCACCAACCTAATACTCATGACCAACAAGATTCAAATAACCAAGTACTCTAGCTATTACAAGTTATGATAAATACTTTAGGTCAATCATGGGAACCTCCAATAGATTATAGGGAATGAAACCTCGTTAAAATTCCCACGTTTGGAAGACAAAACCAAGATCTGAATAAATAGCTTGAAGCTATAAGCAGGGTATTTGAAGCCAATAATATTGCAGGGGACAGGAGGCTTGTGGTTGCAGGTACTCATTTATCTAGGCTTGCTGCCCTCTGGTGGGAAGAAAGAAAAACAAAGGAACTGAAAATCTAATATTAGTATGATGAATGTACCCCCAATTAAAGTTTTACCATGAGATCCGCCTTAAGTTCTGTATACAGGTGCTGATAGCCCAATAGAATACAGAACTCCTAAACAGATGTTAGCGAATAGGTAAGACAGTAGATCAATATGCTATGAATATGCTGTCATTGTTTAGCAGAGTAACTCAAATAGGCAGTTAGTATTTCAAAGTAATGAAGGCACAGATGTTTGTACAGGGACTTCATTCAGACTTGTCATTAGCAGTAGGACCGTTTATGCCTAATACCTTATAAGAGGCAATCGAAAAGGCCCAGGTGTGTGAGATGACGTTCACTAGGGGTTTGGCTGTATATGGGCTAGCAGCGATAATGAACACCATTGCCAACCAAATAATTTTAGTTCCTCAAGCACAACAATTAACATATACAGCAAACTAACAACCAATAACCTCTCTAGCCCAAAACAACCTAATGAATGAGGTTGTCATCCTTCTAAAAGAAGTGGTAACAGCTATGAGGAATAGTAGCATTAGGCCCTGCTTACCCACAAATAAGAACTGCCAGAACAGACCAAATTGCCCGCTATCCATATATTACTCTTGTCAGCAACAAGGACATTACGCTCGAGAATGTCTGACTCTAAATTGAAATAATAATGATAATAATCAAAGAAATGGCAATCACATCCCAAATCAGAATAATAATGATATGCAATCCAGATTAAAGAAGGAAACTATTAGAGCACAAACAATGATAGTCCAAATACACGAAGTCTATGAATATTTAAACTAGAAGACACATTTTCCGAGGGTAAGAGTGTGTCAAGACCAAAAAAATCCTCTATAACTTGAATAAAAGAAGCCTATATAGCAAAAAGAAAGAAAGGAAATGAAGGGAATTTAATCGACATAGAAACTACTCAGGATGAAATGGAAGAGGAGGAGGCCGAACCTAAAGAAATTACAAAAGAATCCCCCTAAAAAAAAGAAAAAAATCATTAAAAAGAAAAGAGCCAAGCCTATTGACCCCCAAATCATAACTAATATACAACCATACTCTGTGATGACAGATCTACAAAATAAAAAGGCCAAAATAATATATGCCCAATTGTTTTAAGTAGCTCCAAGTGTAAGAAAAGACGCCCTAAAAGCGCTACATCCCAGAAGGATTGCAAAGACAAAATTCACTAAATTTTGTCTAAATCGAAGTGAAGATTGCCATACCACATCCATGTATTACAAGACACAAGTTAATAAAGAACCAATTCTTTTAGTTCTGAATAGTAGATCATCCAGTTGTATTGTTTCTGCTGGGTTTTTTTAAAAAAATAGGTGTTCCAATCGACTGCTCGTCTATGATTTTAATAATGGGAGTTCATAGAGAACAAAAAAGGCCGTTAGGAGAAATTGATTAATTTTCGATAACTGTCAAAGGAAAATAATAAAATCCCAAGCCATAGTAACTAATGCTGACAACTATGCTATGATTGCAGAGAACGATTGGATAAAGAAGATACATGCTCAGTTGGATTAGGAGGTCTGTGAATTGTTAATAAAGGATGGTAACAAAAAATTAAAAATTCCAACTGAATATTGTAAACCTGCCAATTGGAAAGAAGATGTGAAAAAAGAAAAAAAAAATTAAAAAAAGTGAGAAAAAAGAAAAGGAAGAAAATAGAGAAGAAATATCAGAAAGTGAAGAAGATAGTGAAGAAGATGAAGATAGTAGCGATGAAGATGAAGAATAATACGAACAGAAAAGATTAGTAAATCAGACTTATCTGTTTCACAAACTCTGCTCAATAACTGATGAAATAGAAAAGACGTGTGATTACTGTTTAAAGAAGGAGGATGATTCAGATAATGACATTCCTGAAAAAATAGTAGAAGATACACCCTTAATATATTTTTTAGGAGAAACGGAATCACCTACCAAAGATCTAAATTTAGGAGAAATGACCAAAGAACAAAACAAAAAGATAAAAGAAATGTTAGAAGGTTTCTCAGATATGTTTGCTCAGAAGTTAGACCAACTTGGAAAAACAACAATCATTCAGCATAAAATACATGTTGACGAAGGTCTCCCCATAAAACAAAGATTTTACCCTATCTCAAAGATTGAACATGACTTCATAGGAAAAGAGATCCAAAGATTGCAAACTACCAGTTTGATTCATCCCTTTGTAAGCCCGTGGATATCCCCAGTGGTATTGGTGAAAAAGAAAAATGACAAATTAAGACTATGTGTAGATTTTCGAAAACTAAATAAAAAAATGAAACATGATAGCTACCTGCTCTCCCATATTAATGAACTCTTAAGTGCTTTAAAAAACTCTGTATAGTATACCATATTGGATCTCACAAGTGGGTTCTGACAAGTAGGAATCTGCCTTAAAGATTGTGAAAAGATAGCTTTCACTATGAAATTCAGCTTCTATGAATTCATAGTAATACCATTCGGCCTAACAAATGCCCCTGCAACCTTTCAGAGGTTGATGGACCAGGTTCTACAGAAAGAAATGTAGGACTTTGTTTTGGCCTACATAGATGATATTAACATATACTCCCCTAACTTCGACGAATATTTAAAACATGTGAAAATAATTTTAAAAAGACTAAGGGAGGCAAATCTAAAACTAAACCCTGAGAAATATTTTTTTGAGCAGAAAAAAATTTCGTTTCTAGGACATAAAATTAGTAAAGAAGGGATTATTGTTGCCATGTCGAAGGTTTCCGCTATAAGGAACTTTCTTAGACCAAAGAACTTGTGAACCTTAAGAGGTTTTCTAGGTCTTGCAGATTTCTACTGTAGGTTTATTAAGGACTTTTCTAAGATAGCCACCCCATTGTATAAACTACTAAGAATACAAAAGCCATATCAATAGAAGGAAGAGTAAGAAATTGATTTCTAGAATTAAAAAAAAGTTTAATTACTGCACCAATTTTAGCCTATCTCCAAGACAATAAATAATTCATTCTCTATACTGATGCATCGCACATAGCCCTAGATGTCGTGTTGTCCTAAAATGATGATCAAAATAGGGAACATGTCATTAAGTATGCCAGCTGCTCTACTAAACCAGCAGAAAAGAATTATACTATAACTGAGCTAGAATATATCGCCATTGTCTGGGCATGAAGAAGTTTCACCAATACCTACACAGAATAAAATTTATGTTAATAACAGACTATACAGCTTTAACTTACTTGAATAATATAAATAACCCTATTGGCAGAATAGCCCGATATATAATAACACTCTAGGACTACGACTTTAACGTAAAATACAGACTGGGAAGGCAAATATTGAATGTAGATGGATTGTCCCAACTCGAAATTAACTCAGAAGAGAGCGTGGAACCTGGAAGAAAACAAAATAAAATTTAAGAAAAAAATTTTATAAAAAAAAAAAAAAAGAAGAGAATTAAAAAAAATTAATTAAAAAAATTAAAAAAAAAATTAATTAAAATTAAAAAAAAATTAATTAAAAAATTAAAAAAAAAAAAAAATTAATTAAAATTAAAAAAAATTAATTAAAAATTCTTTTCAAAAATCTGATAATTCAGTTCAGGTTATGGTGTCCTGGCACCAAAAAAATAGATCATCGATTATTCTTATAGTATAGGCTAAGATCATGTCATTGTATCATTCATCACCTAATATTTCAACTAGATATGTTTTTATAGCCAACTCAACAGGTAATATAGCTTCCTTTCCATATGTTAGGTAAAAAGGATCTATCTTAGTAGTATTATGCCAAGTGGTTTTGCATACGAACAAAGCGAAATATACGTATTCATCTCAATCACTATGGTAGTGATTAATATATTTTGCCAAAGTTTCACATAAGGTTCGGTTAAACCTTTCTACGAGGCCATTAATCTGGGGATAGTAGGTAGTCGATAGTCTATGTTTAATCTTAGCTTTTTCATATACCTTCTCTATGACCTTGTTATTAAAATGGGAGCTTTGGTTAGTCAATATTTGTCGGTAACAACTATGGTGAGTAATAACATCTTCAAGGACAAATGTAGCTATTGATTCAGCAGAACAGTTAGGAAGGGCTCAGGCCTCAAACCATTTTGTTAAGTATTCCACTGCAACAACCAAGTATCGATTGCCTTTCCTTATTATGGGTAAGGGCCCACGACATCCATACCAATACGATTGAACAGTTGGGTTATTTTTATAGGATATAAGGCCTCTTGACTTTCTGGTTTTCCTCTTCACTAACATATGTCACAGCTCTTTATAAAGTTCTTTATATTTGCCACTATTTGCAGCCAATAGTATCTTTTTAATACTTTGTCTATTATTACCTTTTCACCTAGATAGCTAGTAACGGGATCCTCATGTAATGCCTGAAGTATTAGCTTGACTTGTTCACGTCGTAATACTCTAAGCAGCTTCTTCAGATTTTGTTTATTTTGTCGATACAGAACTCCATCTCGTACCAAGTAATATCTTGCCTGAGCCTTTATTTTTTGAACTCCTTGTCTTGTAATATTTTCGAGTTCTTTTAATTTCTGCAGATACTTCACTAAATTTGCATAAGTTTCTGATTCTATTTTTTTGGTGCCAGGACACCATAACCTGAACTGAATTATCAGATTTTTGA